AAAAAAAAAAAAAAAAAAAAAAAAAGGCGCGCGCTTATCGATGGCCGGCGCTTCGAGATATTCCCTCGCATCGACGCCCGCCGCCGCTCCGCCCCTTGGGCGCGCTCTCTCGTTTCCTGGCGCACTGTTAACATTTTGGTACGCGTTGTCGGAAGATGATGCGGCGCAGCAGCGGAAATTGACATGCCGCGGTCAACTCCCACGCTGCGTCAAAATTGCGTCCGCAGTCATGGTCAAACTGGACCCTAGCGCTTCATTTAGACTTCACCTGTGCCGAAACCGAGGGAAAGACAGCGCGTCCGTACTGTCCCCTGGAGACCTGATCTTCCTCGTTGCGCTGGACTGACGTGACCGCAATGGGCCAATTAGTGGGGTCCGGTCCAAACAGCACTTGAAACGGACCAAGGGTTAGCGAGATATTCAAGTTTGACCGGTTGGGACCGGACCGACACGACCGCGTAACCCAGCCAGGAAAGGAACAACCCTAAGTAGCCATATAGATGAACAGCCAGGCCCGAATAATTAAAATAGGGTCATGTGCTATTTTTAGCACGGGACTGACTGTTCGTTTCCCAAAGTCGGGCCTGCGCCAGTCCCGTTCTAAAAATAATACAGCCCCACGCTATTTTTAGCGTGGGACTGACTGTTCATCTACCGGGAACTGGGTCTGCGCCAGTCCCGTTCTAATATAACCCAGCCCCACGCGATTTTTAGCGTGGGACTGACTTTTCATCTACCGGGGACTGGGCCTGCGCCAGTTCCGTTCTAAAAATAGGACTGACTGTTCATATCCCGAGGTCGGAACTGCTGCTATTTTTAGCACAGGCCCGGTCTAGAGCTTGACCACAGCCCCGACCTTGGGACTGCAGCACTCAGCCCCAATCACCTGGCCTCTCCATTATAAAAGAGAGGCCACGTCACCCAAGAAGACACAAATCAGACAGATCGAGAGCACGCTCACTTGTGGAATGCAGCAATGCTGGCAGAACGGCAAGTAAGAATCTCTCACACGCGGGGATGCGGAACGACTGGCGGGACAGCGAGGAAGGAGAAGGATTGAAGCTACTGCGTTAGAGCAAGTGGGAAGAGGGACGACCAAGACACGCAAGAAGGAGGTAAAGGGAAGGGGGTTGCTCGGGGAAGTATGGCGGTTTCAGTCCTCACAAGGGCCACCTTGATTTCTCCCTCACCTCCTCTCCTATCATCTTCTTTCTGCTTCCCTGCTCGCTCTCTCCCCTTTCCTTCTTCTCGCTCAGATGTGTGAGGTCTGTCTAATCCCCCGCGAGCCCATTGGTTCATGGCACGGTTCTGATCTACCGTTGACCGCCCGCACRCACTGTGCCCGAGGGCCGCCGGTGCTGAGCACCCGAGCTCGCCGTGCTCAAGGGCTGAGGATACCGTGTGCTCCCGAGCACCTTGCCTGAGAGTTGTTGAGATTGGCTACTCACGCGCACTGTGCTTGAGGGCAGTTGATACTGTGCACTGTACTTAAGGGCTGATACTGTGTACGAAGACTGTTGATGCCGAGTCATGCGGTGAACCCTGTCATACTTCGTTGTTTCTGGGTCGAATCTGCCAAGGGTTACATGATCTGTGTATCACTTCATATTTTGGGACTTTGTATGAGCAAGCATTTGACATAGTATTTGGCTGTGCCAATAGGCACTCAAATAGGGCTTGATATGGCTGTGCCAATGAACACTTAAACTGAATGATTAGTTGTGCCAATAAACACTTGAACAGAGTATGATGGTTGGCTATTCGAGTCCCTTGATTCGCTGTACCAAAAGATGATTCGCTGCATAATGGTCCAATTGCGACTGTGCACACTTGAATTTCAGTGTGACATTGCGCTTTGAACTTGGGTGCCGTGTGCGCACCATGTCTAAGTACCAA